ATATTCTTCCGACGTCTGATTTCTTTTTAAAAAATGCGTTTCTAAAGTGCATAAACTTTTGGGATTGACTGTATAGCCAATACATCCTTAATGATTTCCTCACTATTGTACGAGTTAACTCGAAGTGTTTATGCAAACATGTGAATATCTTTCATGTCGTTTACAGAATTGAATAGAAATATTCATGAAAGTTCACATAGAATAGACAGATACGACGTTTCGAGGCGAATCTAACGTCCGTGAAAATAAAATTAAGAAGCTGAAGAGGCTCTTGTAATTTCTCTGCAATTCAACTTCTACCACTGGAATTATTTCAGTCATACATATAGAAAATAATTGATTCGACAGAACGCGTATTAAAAACAGAATAATTTCTCGAGCGAAAGGGTTGATTACATACAGAACGAACGTCTTCTTGTAATCAGTAGAAAAGGTCTCCCAAGACATTTTCGAAGGACCTTACAAAGAGGACTCGTTAAGATCCGGCGCGAAACGTCTGTTCGTATAATTTAACAATAACGTAAAAAGATAGCGTTTTCTTCGTTATCGAATGTACTATTCTTATCTCCACTCCCCTCTCGATTCTTCTCATCCTCTCTAACTGTTATCGAACGTTTCTCGTTATTAATGCGCGAAGCGTCTTACGATTTTTTATCATCAGCCACGATTCCATGTCGGCTCACGCTTCTGGAATATTTAATACATTAAACATCTCAACCATTTTGTACCATGTTAAAGAAACATTGTCTACCTTCCATCTATTCGCTGTTTCATTAAAAACTTATAGGCAAATATCTCTGACTGTTGATCAATTATTGATTTCAGATTCTACGATTCAGAATGACATGCATAAAGAATAAATCTTTACTTAGATTGCATTTTCTAAATTGGCACGATGAACGCTTTACTTGTAAAAATCCAGATAATGGTCGAACACAAGGGAGTTTAATTAAGGAGTTCTTAAGAATCTGAAGCATTAGAGTACCGAACACTCGTTAAGCGAGAGCTGGCATTTAGTTTCGCGGCACACACGACGGCGGATGACTCCGTGAGAAACGTTGGGGGGCCAAGAAAAATCGAGACAATCGCAGTAATTGCAGGAAGTGAACGCGTGGCCCGCGCTCCGCTGTTGGGATCAGACAATGGTATCGCGTAGTTCGCGAAAAGAAAATAGTGGAACGAACGTTGGCTATCTGGCGTCGAAAGGATGTTTCCGTGCCACGTTCCCTGCGAGCTCCTCCTCTATCTAATACGCGATTTTTAGGAAACATCGATCGAGGTCTTTACGCTTCCTGTCTCTTTAAACATCTTAAACGTTCACTCGAATCAATCTTGAAACTTGAGACAATGCGACACTTGTACGTAATCTAATTGTTTGATAGTAAATAGGAGAGACTCACGAGGGCAGGAATGAAATCCTGAAACATGTATTCGTTTGAATAATGAAAATCTCGTCGGTCTTATCGGACATTATGCATGCCTGACGAGCGAAACCATTATGAGAAACTCGGTTAACGCCTGAATACAAAAATAGGAAGCGTCGAATTTATACAAACTGCTCGATTTTATAATAAACAATTTTCGAACGGAAATTCATTAGCGACTAACTTCGATCAAATTACCAAATAGAAATCAATGTTTTTAAACAGTGAAATTTGCACGCTCGGTCGTGTCTGTCTGCATACCTCGTCGAGTCGAAATATTCGATACGGGAATGCGAATTTATTTGTGTTCAAATATTGCTAAATACTTTTCGCGTTATTTCAAACGATGTACAATGAAACTCACTTTAACATCTTCACGTGCAGTGTTTGATTAAACGCGTGTGTCCGATAAAATATCGCAGTAATGGAAACGAGCTTCAATCCTTTTTCATTTTTCACGTATCAAGATCGTTTTAAATATTTACTGTACAAACGTGATCGCAATTTGTTTTCATTCTTTTTCGAGAAAAATTTTATTGCCGCGCATTTAGAGAAATCAATCGTTTCTCGATTTCATTCAGAAATTTCGCTATTGAACGTGCATCGAATATCAACAATTTTTAAGTGAGAATTTTTTATTAAAATTGAGGTCCGTCGTTGAACGACTGAACAGGCTCTGTCTTCAGACGTGAATTAATTGGCATCGGATTGGCTGCTAGTTAATTATTAAGCTATATGAATCGACGTCGTTTGTCGTTCGCGCGAACTTGCCGATAACACGGGAGGAGACCGCGGCCGTCGAAAAGAGCCGGAGCTACTCGTTATATTAGGAATCGCGAAACGCTGAGACATCAGCCTCGACAAACTCGGCCACGGTTCAACGATAAGTAAGAAGTTTTCGAGGCGTAATTAACTGCTAGCGAGGTAGTTAGAAGAGGGGTGGGACCGGGCCTGATGACATTGCGTCCGTAGAACATTAGAGTCAACTTGCTGAAACTTCACCTTCTTGCCTTTATCACCGTTCCTCGACTCGACGTGCCCAGGCTTCTATTCACATCGGTTTCCTCCGATAATCGTCTCAATTGTACGCCAACGTCTTTAGACAGGATCACCTAATTCTTTTCTGACACGAACTGATGAGTAAACTCAGATATATCTGCAACTGTCGAGTTTAAAATTATACGAAATTATTTATCGATTTAATAATACATATTATTTAATGAAGATGATCTGAAATAATAAATGTACAGAAATTTTTACGCTCTCGATAGAAATAATTTGACATCTAGAATATTTTTAATTTACTGGGCGTAAGACTGTTGGCAGAAATTTTGTGAAAGGCGACGGAGAAGAACGAAGCGAAGAGGGTAATAGTTTCGGTTAATTGGATAGCAATTAGACGAATCCTCTGGCATTGTCTCGCCGGACGGATTACACCGGATCGTCGAATGAAGGATGATCCAGCCGGGTCGAAATTTCTATCTCGCGAATAGGAATGACGGATAGCGGTCCTTTCCTTCCCTCGCAAACGGGATATCCATCCTCTTGTCTTATCGTCTCGGCCTTCCTACTCTACCACTCGGCTTCCGGCCGTCCCCGATAGGAGAACCGAGCACCCTTCCAAGCTCCTTTTTTTGCGTACTCCATTCCGCGAATTGCGTACTTCCAACGAATCGATGCCCACACGTACACGTCACGTATCCTTCTCCCTTTGCATTTGCGAAATTGTTTTGGAACGACGCGACACCCTTCGCTTCGAGGAAAGCTTCCTTACCGCGAGGATTCATCATCGCGAAACGATCAATGCTATCTCTACGTGTTCGCGAGAAATGCATAATTCATCTGCTTAGTTCAGTAGACGTTTGTCAATATAGCAGATCAAGAATTAAAGCGATTATTTCGAAGAGGGTTTTGAGAATTGACCACTGATTTTAAGTACCCACCCCCCGGATTGATCAAGGATCGTGAAATAAAAATGCCAAGATTCGTTTTCATTAATTTATTAATCATTTATTCGTTTTTACAAAGTCATTACTACATTTCCTACGGTGATCAACGTTAGGATTGCTTTTTACAATATATTGACGACGTCGTAAAAAATAGTAATGGGGCGTTAGAGCCCCGGAAAACAGGAGAGGAAAAAAAGATACATTGGTCGGTAGGAAGGTATACCTAGTCTGTCCTATTTCACTCCCGGGCAGGGTATCAGTTAAAAAAAGGAACGAACCCGGTTTCTCTTGTTTCCCATTCGAGTGGAACGCGCGGTTCGTGGAATTTTAACGGGCGGTCGGTTTGACCTAATCGTGCGATGCGATTCGTGTCGGCGTCGGCGGCGGCGGCCGTTTCCAGGCGAACCGTGTTTCCACCGCAAAGCGCAACGCGCAACGCCCGTGAACTTAATCGAGGCGTCTCGACGACGGCTCGATCGCATTCTTCGGTGCGTCAGCCGCATTGCAACTAGCAGAAACGACGCCGCTCGGACCTCGTCGAGGATGCAAATCGTCCGCTTAATGGGCTCACGTTTCCGAACGGCTCTTCTACGCGTTGCTCCGTTGCTGGAATTCCTCCATCGGAGCAGTCTTGTTTCCGCGACGCCGTCTGGGAACTTTCCTTTGGCACCGCGAACGAAAACAACCTGCTTCTTTGCCCCCGATCGATCCCTTCTACTGTTTTAATAGTAGCTGCCTCGCTGGTTAATACCTGTATACATTAATTAATTGTTTTGTTAGTTACTTTATTTTATTCACTGCCAACACTGCCTTCTATAATTCTTTATCAATATAAATTGAGTAGGTCTCCTCATCATTAAATATATTTTAAAAGTAGAATCTTGGAATTGAATATTTTTCATGCTTTGAACATTTTATTTAATTTTGTCCTAATCCTTTTAAATTCTTTATCAACATAAATTGATTAGGTTTTCTCATCAACAAGTATATTTTAAAAATGGGATCTTGAAACTGATCTTTCATGTTTTGAACATTTTTAACATTTTTACTCTTTAGAAGTGTCATATCATGAAACGTGCTCTAATTTCGCGTATATAAATCTGCAATTCTCAGGCCTGAAACCTACGACGATGATCTTGACTTAAAGAAACAGATCTCGCGATGGTCGAGTTGGGGATCGAGGTGGAAGGGACGAATGGATAAAACTGGGCGAAACGAATCAAAACCGAAACGTTATCGCGAAAATTGTTTCCGCGCCGCCGAGCGTAGCAGATAAGCGCGATCATCGTCCACCTCTCCGCGAAAGAAAGTTTCCTCGCGTTCGCCGAGATAAAATTCATAATTGGTTTAATTTCACCGACCGCCGTTGTCGTTACGATAGCCATGCCTCGACGATCCTATCGTTACACGTCTCTTCAACTCTTCCCTTTATCTTTCAACTTGCTCGCGTCAATTTTAGAAAGGCTTCATGAAATATCAAATAACTTTGGAATTTATTTTTAACAGCAGGTCTCACGAGTATGAATTAAAACAAAGGAACAAAGTGAATATCTTATTATCCGAACCGATCACCTCGTACATTTGCCATCTATAAGAGCAGACGCGTGAAAGCTGCGGAATTTCGATTTTAAGTAAAATGTTAGAACGCAGCGGCCGGAATGGGAGAAGTCTGGTGCGACGCGTATCATTTTTTCCTTTAATAAATTTTAATGGTCGGCACCGGCACGCAATCCGGCCATTCATTTGAACAAAAGTGAACCGTGGCTCAGAAATGCATGCGCTCACATTTCAGGTGGCTTCACCTGTTATTTAACCTGGGAGTACAGGTGGTCGTGGGACTTCCCCTGGAAATGGTTCACGGAAGTCTGAGGATTGCGGCGGTCTACATGGCCGGAGTTCTTGCCGGTAAGTAATCGCTATGAATTTCAAATGTTTAAAACTTTACTTGCACGCGTCGCGGGGTACGTACGTATCTCCATTAGTCGTCGTTTCCGAGCCGCCTTGGAAGCTGTACAATACCACGTGTCAATACGGTCGGAAGCTGAAACGAATTAAATATTGACGTTACGTGGTCGTCGGAGTCGTCGTATCAAATAGAATGAAAATCGGCCGATCGTTAAAACAAAGTGTCGCGTACGCGACAGAACGGGAACGAGCGGTGGGAAGCGGGTGACGAGGAGAGCGAAAGAAAATAGACGACTGGGGGAAAAAAAAAAAAAGAAGAGGCATGCCAGACGAAATGAAAGGAAGGCCAGAGAGGCGGGGTGGGGGCGTTATCCGTTGTTAACAAAATGCAATTAAGCGAAAACTCTGTCCAAGTGCATTTAACACGGGCCGAGGCTTGTCGATAGGGGCACGCGCGTGATTATGCGCGGCTCCGGCATTATAACGCCCCGCCGGTAATGCCTACGAACGAATGCCCGCGACAATATTCCTGAATTTAAATCACTCCCCGATTCTCGCTGGCCCGCGTAAACGGCCGGCAGCCCAGCTGCAGCTGCCACGCAGCGACTCTATTTCTTCTCTGTAACACAATTTGTCCCTCTTTCCATTTGCCGTGTTTCGGGATTTTCCACCGTGGAACGTGTTTTACCTCCGCCCCCCGTCGCCGTCCTCCTTGTCGCAACTATCCGGTCGCCACCCCGGCCGCTCTCTATCTCTCTCTCTCTCTCTCTCTCTCTCTCTCTCTCTCTCTTTTTTCCCCTCTTTTTTCATTATTTTCCGTTCGCCACCTAAACCGGGAAACGAGAATGGAAGAAGAGAAACGTATAATTCTAGATTCGTCTCTCTCCAGTTCTGTTTTTGTATGAAAAGCAGCTACCTGTGTATCTCCTTTTATGTCGTAGCAAATTTTTTCAACGAATTTGTAAAAGGCAAAGAATGGACGTTTCAATTGAATTTGGTCACACAATTAGTTACACTTTCGAGCGTGTTCGTTTTCGAATTAAAGGTCGATACATACACGGTCTCCCATCTACCTCTTGTTTTCACGTTTTTGTCACGGTTTTACTCTGCGCTCCTCCATTCCGCTCGACTCCGTTTCCGTTTCCGTCTTTATTTTTCCATATCGGATTTTCGGAAAGTTCGTCCGTTCTGTTTACTCTATACTTTTTACTGCTCCATAGTTTCTCTCTACTCCTCTCTCGATACTCCCATTTTTTTCTTCTTTTTTTTTTACATAGCGCGATGTTATCTTTGTTGGAAGTTTTCAATCAAACGGTAAAACTTGCTATTATCGTCGCAGAATACGTGAAAGATCTGACGATATCAAACGGATAACGAAGACAGGGCGTGTTTTGCTTTTTGAGAACTCGTGCGAGGCTCCTGTTATTTGCTAAGTTAAACGAAACGTTTCCTACGGACTAATCTGATAGTTCCCCTAGTCGGTGTAGCTGGCATCCGCAGAATCGCGCGTATCTGAACGGAGAAGGCGCGGCGGGCTGGCCCGGGTCGCTCATTCGTGTAAATCTAATTGCCATTTGCATAAATTCGATTAGACTCGGATCCCGGGTTATTAGCAGTCATGAAAGTAAAACGTTGCAAAATAGGGCGCATGAATAATAATAAACCGCCGCCGCCGCCCCGAGACGGCGGGAGATTTCGGGATACATCGGGCGACGTAAACGTTGGGACCGCTGTTACGTTGCCGGGATGGTTAGCGGAAACCTAAACTCTTGCCGGTTGGAAATTACCGTGCTGGAGAGGAATGGGACAGAGGGGATTCTGAGCGACTCGCAAAAAGCGTAATTGTCGGAGGAATCACCCGGAGAGAGTCAGGCTTCTTTTGCCAACCTCGTTTTCATGCCTTCATTCTCTTGACCCACGCGAGATTCTGTAGGTTCTCTTTCGTCGTAATATATTCCTAATTTTATGCCCGGTCCTACCAATAAAATTTTGAAAGCGAGATCCGTCCTACGTTGCACTGTGATTTCTAATAAAAATTAACACACTAACAAGGGAGGACAAAATAATTTGTTTGGCATTTTCTTGTAATTATTATTCATTTTCTGTACATTTTGTTTTCTAAAATTGTACGATAAAAATTGTAAAAATTGTTGTGTCGTTTCTTAAATAACTTATTAATTTGAAAAACAAATTATTCTGACCCCGTCTGTAATTTTATTGTCAATAAACTCGCCGTATGAGTATTACTGTATAATTAATTACATTGTTTCGAAGAAAATTGCAATAAATATCGAGCTTACCGTTGAAATACTTACTATAAATAGAAAATTGTCGGCGAACGTTGTAAAAGAAACTCGTCCCGGGATCTCGTTATTGGAAGGTTCGCTTTGTCCCAATAGAAAGTATCGTCGAAGAGCGAGAGGGACGGAACATGTACTCCTCCGTAACGAGGGTAAAGCAGCTTCCCACGGAATTCGTCTTTTTCACGGATAGGGTTCACTCTTTCACCCCGAATGTCCTCCGACCTCGTTCCGTAAGAACCCGAGGTGGCGACGGCTCGTCTGCGGCCACCGCGACGAGATTACTTCGTATGCCTCGCAGTCGCGACGATGTAATGCGATTGTGACCGAGCAACTATACCTTTCCCTTTGCTTTCTTCTCTTACCTGTCCCATTTTTACCGACGACAAATCGCATCAATATACAAAAACTCCTGCGACGCGTTTATAGAAACATCAGTACATTTATTTATTATTTAAATAAAATCAGGTAGAGTTTTGAATGATTGCAGTATTATTTTTTATTAACTACGTGGAAAAGCACGTCTATATTGTCTACTCGGTACCAAGTAATTTATGCAGGAATTTTCAATGAAAGGAGGTCCGAATCAGTTTATATACGCAGAGAGTAGTTGGTAAAAAATTCAAATAAAAACCGGAATAATCTCGTGAACTTTGTACGGAGTCTCGGGCTCGCGTGTTCGTACGATCGTCATCGGTACTCGTGGAATCGCCGGCGCCGCGCCGATTGCGTGACACAGACAATTATATACGACGATATCTGCATGTCGCCGCGAGATCGTTCCTCGTACGTAGCGTACACGCGTGCGATGCATTTTGCATGCGAAACGAGCAGACGACGATACCCCGTAGACGTAGACGGCCGCCTGTCTCGTCGCCCTCCCTTTCCTTGAAACCCTTCAGCGCCGTCACTCGCTTTCAAGCTTCCCTTTGCGTCAACCGCTTAAACGAGGAAAAAATTCTCTTCCCGTTTGATACCGACAAGTCGATAAATATAAATTAAATCATTGTTACGGACCGATTAATTACACGATATTAAGTGAGAATGGATATAAAGTCGATTCTTGGTAATGCAGCTTGTAAAAATACTTTGTTAACCAGTGAATTTTTTTATATGTTTTATTAAAACAATTTTGTGAAATTCACCAATTAACTATATAAGTACAGGACTTTGACAGTCATATGTTTCGAATTAATCCTGTTTTAATAAACGAGCCTTCATTGTAAAATGGTGCAGGTGGGTCGGCTGTGAAATAAAACAGTAGAGAAAGGCAGGAGAGTCGGGGTAAAAATCGATCAGGTAATAAAATTAATTCCGCGGTAAATTTCTTTCGAGCTTAATTAGACGCGTTCCCGTGGAATTTTCATTGGCGTTTAAAATATATCGTCCCCGTGCAGGCGACCTCCGCTCGTTCCCACCGCCGACTTCGGATTTCCATTACCTTATTTACCCCTCACCGCTCACCAGGTATCCCATTTACGAATGCGTCTCCCACGTTCACCTATTTTCTAGGAAATACGAGACACGTCGGCTGTCTCCTCGATTGGTCAACTGGAGTCGATAAATCGTTCTACCACAGACTCACCGTATAATTATAAATAAAGTCGCTACGTATGAACCGATCGGTTTAATGAAAGAGGACTGTGCAATTTATTTCTAATTTGTCGTCGCCTCGAAACGTCGTGTTAATTACTTAATTGTGTGAGCGAAGAAAAAACGATGGGGTGCCAGCGTATTAACGAGCACTGAAACGGATCGTGCGGGGTGTTATTAATCGGCAGCACTTTATCACGGTATCAAAATTCAGGGAGGGCCGTTATCATTAATCAGCGGACAGTTAACACTGCTAATAATGATAAAATAGTAAATACGGTGGGTAGTAACAACGGTTTCGTTCTAATTTACGGCGCGTTATCGTGCTACATACATCTGAATATAGATAACTCTATTAAAATTAAGTTCTCGTAACCAGGACGATGGACCGGTCCCGCGAGATCCCCGTTGCTGAAGTTGGTCAACCCGAAATTACCCTACGGAAAATACAAATTTATCTCGGTTACAAAAAAAGAAATACGATTGTTGTTATGGTTATAAAAATTTCAAGCCACTGAAGACTTTTAATTTCATTCGAATCAGTTCATGGTAACATGGATGTTTTGAAGTATTCCATGAGCTCTCGTTCTCAGTTTGGGAAGGGAAGATGATTGATGCTCGAAGATGGAACGACATGTTATTTAGGAAATCAATCAAATCTGTGTCTATCTTGTTCTCGTGTCCTCGGGCTTAAGATCGCATTATTATTAACAGACTTTTATAATACATTTTCACGGCTTCTTTTACTATTTTCCCTCGCAATAATAGTCCTTGAAACTGGAACACGTGCAACAGGTGCAACGTATCAACTACGAGCGGCGCGACCGATAGCAAAAGAAAGAAAAAAAAAAAAAGCTATAAAGAGCGCGGATACTTGCGTCCGCCCTATGGGGACGACGCAGCGCACGGGACGCATCGTTTGACGGTTTTTATTACCGACTCCTAGCCGATAGAATAGGGAAATCGATGAAAACTGCGCGGCGCGAAGCGGCGACGACGGCGGCTCGGCAAATAGTTGAATTATTTGTAATTCCGCTGGAATTGGCAATTCGTAAAAATGGTTTATAATCGAATCGAATTTCGCACGTATTCCGATAAAACGAATTTTCCAGTTATAATCCTTTTTCATTTGAACTACAATGAAGAAACTTCGAAACAGCTCAAACGAGTGATCAAATAATTTATGCTTGTTAAAAGTTAGTTTACAGTTCGTTTGAATAATTTCAATTTCATATCATTTATATCGTTAATTATGAAGGAAGTAAGGGAATTATACATGTAATAGAATTAGTCGGCAACTGAAATTTAATACACTGATGGATAAAGCGTTTAAAAAAAGATATCTAAGATTACCTGAGAAAGAAGTTTTATTGTAGAGAAAAAGCAGACCGCTGTAATCACATAATTTAATTAACGTCGTTAATTTCTCATAAAACGCAATGTAAAATATGTTCAAATCTTTAATAACATTTTTCGTACTCTAAGTCTCTAAAAACATGTAACTACGTGTTTTTAAAGGATCTAACTAGCATTATACTAAATTTGAACGAAACTGTTAATTCTATAATCGACAGAATTCCCTCGAGCACTAGAAATTTTCACCTAGCAAAATTGTATGCTTGTAACTTAGCAATTACTGGTTTCCCAACTAGAATTCCCAGGAGTTTCTAATACTTTCGAATCCTGTTGCACGTATTCTACAATACACTGTCAACTTGTATACTATTAGTTGATTCATTATCTGCGGGTACGTAATAATTTGGTTAATGCAGCTAGCAACCGGTTCGGTGTCAAGTGACCAACGTTTCCTTGCTGGCGCAGAAACACATTTCCGACTTGTAACCGGAGGTAACTCCGCGCAGATAGTTTACAAGGTTTACGGTGGCGAACGCCATTAGCTTATGATACTCGCGGAAGGATACGGGTCACTCTGTAATTAGCCACGTGCACCTCCAAGTTGATTCCAAGCGCAACACTCGAAATTAACAATGTGCTAAATAGTTTCATTTAATATAAAAGCGTTTTTCCCGATCTAACGTAAGATGAGAGCTTCTGTGGAATCACTAAGAGGAAAGGATTATTCAATCTCGCTAATGTATTATAGATAACAAAGAGTTTTATGAAGGCGAAGGAGAATTAATTATTAGAACGACTGGAAGTGAATCTGCTAAGCCAAGTCCACGTCCGACCAGTGCAACTTCGTACTACTGATTTTAGAATGACGTTCTCTTCGCACGTTTGATATATTAGAAAATTTATTTTAGTTTGATCGGATCGATGAAGTGGAATTTTCTTCTGTTTACAGGTTCCTTGGGTACGTCTGTGTTCGATACGGACGTCTATCTCGTTGGGGCCAGCGGAGGCGTATACGCCCTTCTTGCGGCACACTTAGCCAACGTCCTCCTTAATTACAACAACATGGAGTTCGGCATAGTACGGTTGATAGGCATCTTCGTAATCGGTACGATCTCTCCTTAAATTCATAGAAAATAAATTCATCCACTTCCCGTATCAGTTTTCATCACTTTTTTAATTACGAAAATAAATCGAAGCTGCACCATTTCGATCACGAGTCATGCTAAGACATAATAAATAGATACGAGAATTTAACTGACCAGTGAAAATTGTTTTTATTTTCAGCGAGCGCAGACGTGGGTTTCGCGATCTACGACAGGTACGCGGCCGAGCAGATGGGCCCGCCGGTCTCGTACGTGGCACACTTGACCGGCGCCTTGGCGGGCCTGACGATCGGCCTCCTGGTGCTGAAGAACTTCGAGCAACGCCTCCACGAGCAGCTGCTCTGGTGGGTGGCACTCGGCGTCTACGCCGCGTGCACGATCTTCGCGGTCATGTACAATCTGATGCACCCAGACTATCCCTGACGTGAGGTCAGCTTCGCGTACGGCCAACCGCGGAACACGTAACGCGAAGCTGACTAACGTCGAATCGAAAAGAAGACGAGCAGGAGGAGGAAGAGGCGAATAAAGAAACGGAAAAGAAGACGAAAGCGCGGGTGGAGTTCGCCGGAGGACGAGGAGCGGATCTGCTTGCGGGTTTCGGAACGAGATTGAGAATCGAAGCCCCTGTTTCCGGCACCACGGTGGTTACGTTGCGAGAAGATATTGAGATATTTTTGTCGAATGAGAACGTGGAACGTTGCGGTCTGATCGATCGAAAACGGACAGTCGACATATGAGCGAAACGCGAGAAGGAGACGGTGATTGTTTTCCTCGAATAAATATGATATTACGACTGGAAAACTTGAAGAAGAGTTTGATTGACTGAGGAAGAGGCAAAAGTGACGCAACGTCGGATAACTTGTAAACGAATTAATATTAAAGAAAGATATTTAATAGTCGTAACAGAAAGAACAGAGAAAACTAATTTTCTAGTTGCTGGCTCTCGCATAAAATAGGATACCTGGGAGTTGATTAAAATTCGATGGAAGACGAAGAATCGATATTTCAGCTATTTTCGTGAAACGTAGTCACCGATACAAAGTAAACGAGAAGTAGACGTCCCATGACGCGTGATAATACTCTCTTTCAGTATTTCATCGACAGAGTATTACTACTGGGAATTATATGTATAATTTTTCGAAAAGGATCTGGGGAGTAGGAGAATTTCAAATAACAAAAATAGCACAAGAATAAATGGACAAGACGAAGGTTCAGTCGCATCGGAAGAATAAATTTCATTCTCACGTCGATTCCTTGCATTTTCCTCGCGTTTTAACGTAACAAGATCATTCTCGGACAAAAGAGCAAAGTCAAAGGAAGCGAAAGCCAAAAAGAAGAGATCCTGATCCTAGCTGGCCAGCGCGCGCTAACATTTTTCTACTTTTCCCGGTGAGAAACCAAAGATTCGAGATACCTTGGGGAATCGATTTTCGGGACCCAAACGTCGTACGATGCACGAGGATCGAGGAACGCGCGCGGGCACCGAAGGTCGTCGAGCAACGGTGACGAAGAGAGAAGAAACGCTGTAAGAAACCACGAGGCGGGACGCGTTTCTCTCACTCCCGGTCTCGTGCGTTTTTCAGACGCAAGTAAACCAAAGAGTCTCACCGAACCTCCTGCTTTGTCCCTTTCAATTTCATCCTCCGAACGGACGACACGACGCGGCCGAGGGGACGGAAATAGAGGCAAGATGTTCCGGAAATCCTTCGCGGTGTCGGGGAAACAGGATGTCCAGATACATCACATTACACGGGGATCGATCGATCCCTGTTTCCCTGGTCAGAAGAACAGTTTCGCCGTAGAGAACCGAAGAAGAATGATCGTTCGCAAATTCCGTCGAACCGACGGAGAGAGCTGCTGTAGGAAATCGAGCGGGATGTCGCGCAGATCTCGAGGAGATTGAAGGATCGAACATCTGCTGCTAGCGATTCTCCGTCGCACTGATTTGCCTCCATTTTTTTAAGAAAGATTTATATTAAAAATTGTACGATTGCCCGTCCGTCTCAAGATTGAATAACGAGATTTTGTTACGTTCGAATCCCTCGACAATCGAATTTCACCAAATACATTTCCGCTACTTCGTATTATTTCACCACGGGTATAGAATACAATCTTCGATGAGAGGTTCCCGTTTAAATTACTAAAGAATAATATTAATGGAAAGAGATAATCGATGAAGAATCGTTGAACAAGAGTCGGTCACAATGAGACATTAATGAAAGTAACTATGTCAATAAGACTATCGTTGAAGGTACAGCCATCGGTGGAGTATTTGACGATCGGACGGGCAAGATTATTTAATGAAATCCTTAAAGCGATGAGAAATGGCTTTCGAGCAGTGAAGCGAGAAAGGTGATCCGCGCGCGAGTTACCTCTGATCGTTTTCAGGGCATTCGCCTAATTGCCACACTATACGCAATGGTTGTAAGTTTCACAGCTTTTCTTTTGTAATCGTCGATCGTCGCGCGAATCGCGCCCTAATGTATACCACTGTAAATAATTCTGTACATAAAATCATGGCGCGTGTGTCAGTGTGTGCTCGTGAAGACTGTGCGAAGATAATATTATGTAAAGTGAGAAAAGCGCGTGGCCGTGCGGTCTAGTCTAACAGGTAATCACGGGAATGCTTGAATACTCGTATAAGAGAGAAGATAAAGGTAGAGAGAAACGAGACAAAAGTATTTTACATTCGCAGTGTATCGCTGAATTATTTTCTCTCTAGAACGCGGTTGTTCTGTGTGTTCTCGATCCCTGTTCCCCTTATCTCGGTACAGCGATAGGACACAGTTTGTCCCGGCAAAATCCTAGGTAATTGGCTTAATTATTTAAGTAATTGGGTTCGTCGCGAGAAGGCTCCTTCTATTTAATGGTATTGCGAAAGGGTCGGTGATATTGACCTCCTCAGATCCATTCTGTTCGTCGATCTAAAGATCTCAATGAATCCCAACAAAAGAAATTAAATAACACTCGATATCTATGAACGTCATTGATCTGCGATTAGAGTAAGACAGTCTTTCTCCATAGATTCTCAGTTATTTCTTACTGCCAAGAGTAGAGATTAGTAAATCATGATTTATGTTCGGAGAATAGGTTTCATTTCTCACGCGGTGAGTTTGTTGAAAATCTTCGGAGCGAGTAACAAATTATTTCTCTCCTTTGATTTTGCGAGAGGAAGGAAGGGAGGAGGGGGAGGAAATTCTTACCAAAAAGCCGATGGCGAAAAGGCGAACGAGTTCAAACCGAGAGTGATTAACGATGCTAGTCAATTAGTAGGGGCTGAAGGCAGCTACGGCGTTAAGACATTGCGAAGGAAGAAATTTTTTTTTGTTCCGAGGGGCGAGAAGTGACTCGTAACTTAAATTCGTATGAGAACACGATCTTTGTTTGTCGACGATTGCCATCGTCGTTGCGTGATTCATGATGAATCTCTAAATTACTTTAGTGGTGAATTTCACCAAAAACATGTATTAATACTCATACGTGGCTGAGACTTGCAGCGACTGTCACAAACTTCCTTCTGGAATCTCACTTAACGTATCAGTTTATTGGTTCTTTTGTATCACTTTAGTAATTAACGAGACTTGTATAATTTAGCAATTTTTCAATCGGGAGCCCAATCCATACATATTTATTTAAGAAAGAGCGCCACGCCTTTGGTACGCGTTAATTAAAAGCGATTAAAACAGTCAGACTGTTAGATGCGACGAACTTTAATTCACAGCGTGATTAAACGAGATCCAATACGAATTACATTCGTTCAGTTCTTCGCGCGAACTAGAAGCGATATGTAAAGACGTGTTCAAGCTTACAGTATCGGCGACAGCAATTGCTGGATTTAATCGTTTCTCTCTCGAGATTACAGGATATGTACCTAAAAAGGGAGAACTTCGACGAGTACATTTTATTATATTTTGCACCTCTTATTTATTTATTTATTTAATTTATTAACCGACAACCGTGCGAAACGAACGCTCGAACGGGTGCTTTGAAATCGTTCTATGAAACTCGATGTGAATCTGATCCTATTACGATACAATCAATCCTTAAGCTGTTTACCCAGACTATACGACATTGTTATAAAGATTTCATAGTTTACTGGTTTTTCGATTCCATTCTGAGGACGATTTCTGTGATTATAGAAGAGGCATCGACGAAAACGTAGGACGATTTCAAGGTAACCCGATGAGGAACAATTTGGCTCGATATCGATAGAATTCGCGTTCTCGCCAGCAGGGATCCGTTTTCATCGGGTTCTCGACATTTCAGCGGCTTCGAAATTCGCGTAGCTCGCAATTCTCGTGGCAGTGGCACCCCGCGCCCAGCGAGACCACACATATAGGTGTACAATGGACGTATTAATTCTTGTTTAATTCCTATTATACAGCGGGTGGGCATTGTTTGCCTGGAATTCTGCTTTTAATTGACGCAGTTCCACCACTACCGTTCGAGTGTCTGTTTCTGAATAGCGAAGAGATAACGCGCGTTCGCGTGATCGTCGGGACACGAATATTCATTCGAACTGTCCGTGATAATGTATCAGACATCGCCCCTAAGAATTCGCGTGTCTCCGTACCACTGAGAAACGTGACCAGATCAAATTCAGTTAATACCAATTTAAATTCATGTTAATATCAGTTTATCAGATTTCATCTTTTCCGTTCCTGCAATTCCACGCGAACTAGCTTTATCTCTGTGCATTGAAATATTTAAACGTTCATCGCTCGATACTATTTTGTAACATCGAGGGATGCAACTCTCACGTAGTGTACCTATTGTTTTTTTGGCTAATTCGTCTAGTCGGAGGAACGGTTCTCGTCAAATTGTTCACACTAATCCCTCCCCTTGTCCATAAAATTGTTTAACAAGTTCGTCCGAGAGATTTGCCCGTCGTATTAATGTTTGCGGGCGCAGACGTAGAGCAAAGGGATTCGAGCGAGTGAAAAGCAGGCCCGATGTAATTTTCATAACACCACATCCTTTCTTTCGTTATTTATTTATTTATAGATACCATTGATATACGAACACACGCGTGTACGTGCGGTCAGTCATGAGACAAACATTCACAAAGCCAAAGAGGCGGAGCTAGTAAAAAAAGAGAGAAAGGAACGCGTGAAAGATATCTTTCCGTGCGATTGTAACTGATATTATCGTTACTGTAGTTGTTACTTATTATTATTATATTATTAATATATTATTATTATTATTATTAATTATTATCAGCGATTCATTCTTATTGTTCTCATCGTTCGATGGACCTCGCAAGTCTTGTTCTCGTCGAATGTGTTTGTTGGTCGGCTCGTCTCGTCGCAGTTCATTTGTTTGTATCACCGTACCTACTATACCTATGTAAGATTTATCGTGGTTGGATTCGTCATGCTACGAATCCAATTCTAAATGAAAGACAAAGAATTTTTTGTAAATTGTATAAAAAAAAACAAGTAGCAAAAGTTGTAAGAGGAACGCGAGAAGTAATGCGGAAAATAAAATTTTTGTGAACAACCAACAGTGCTCTCCTTTCACCCTCGAGGATTCCAGCAACCCCTCCGATAATTTCGTATTAACAGACGATTAATAATATAAAACGAAATAGTTTCATGGTCTTTTTTGAAATACTTATAGCTTTTAATTCATAAGCCGATAAATTAAGGCTTGGAAACTTACAATCGATTTTTAAATGGTTTCATTCTATTCTAAAGTTTAATAATTACAAACGATGCTACAAGGAAAGATTTCTAAATGAACCCTCTTAGCTTCGAAGCGGTAACCCGAAACATGACTTAAAAAAAAAACGCGATCATTTACGTCAGATAAATATATTTGTTCTTATGTATATACAAATTGTTCTACAATAATATAGAGGAACAATATACTCGTTCGAATAATGACTTTTAGTTAATCTATTCTCATGTATCACGAATCATTGCGAGTTTGGTTAAGGCCGCCTTTCGAAATTCTTGCTCTCTAGTTGTATATATTTACTACCCCTACACAATTCTATACAATATACTGATCTGTG